CTGGAACCATTTGTTGGAACCCATTTAGGGTCACCCAAAGTACCCGCCCGACAGCTGACTTCCAAACCCGTCCAGTCAGCTTCCATGATTGTTGGAGGGAGGGTCGCAAATCCTGAAAGCGGGCAGATAAAAGTTCAAAAGCCATTTGTTTTTGCGAACCTGGTACATGCTTGGACATGAGCAGAAACAACTCAGCAGCCAATAATTCTTGCAGGCGTGCCGAAACCGAAAAACGTCACACCCCAAAGGAAACTCTTGAAAGAACAGGGAAGCATAAAACATCTTACAAAAGGGACCCGATGAATATCATGTTTACAGAAATGCAAATCTTACACACTCTTACGCACACAACACACCCTGGCACACCCGAAAACCGAAATGAAACCCGCAAAACGATGCTGTTGAGAGGACTCCTGTTGGGCTTGCGCCCCTGTCGCTTGCGCTCCTGCATGGCCTTCCATGAGATGACCACAGACCCCTTCAGCTGTTTTTTTCAGATGGTGAGTTTCAGGTTGCTGCGTTCAAGAACGATCCCTCCCCCGCCCTTCAACAGGGCTCCTTAAAAGATACCATCACACCCCTCTGTTTTTTATCAGGATTTGGATGTCCAAAATCAGCTGGTTGGGTTTAACCTGGCCGCTGATATCCATCAGAGCCTGGGCCGCCGGGCCAGCTGCGCTGCGTCGCGGCCGTTCAGCTCGCCCAGGCGCTCCAAGGCCTTGGCGCGGATCTCCTCGAGGAGGGCCTGGCGAGTTGGCCTTTGGCTTGCGCACGCTGGGCTTTCCAGGAGGGGAAAGCCCCCACAAAACTGGTGGTTTACAGCATGCAGCAGGGACTGTGGGGGTGGAGGGCCTCCACGAAGACCCCCGACCGCGCAAAGGAGGCCGCCAAAGTGGCCAGGCCCTGCGGGGTGAAGGCGCTCAGGTGGTGTCTGGCCGCCTCCGCAGCCAACGACATCAGCTTGTTGTCCCGGACCCCGAGCTTCCCTCGGGTTGGGAGCTAAGAGGTTGGGGGTTTGGGGTGGGGGGGGAAGGGCAAGCGGAAAAGGATGCAACAAAAGTGGAGAGGTCAGGGGTGGTGGTGGGGGAAGAAGGATGAGACACCTTTCTGACGGTCAAGGAAATTGTTGCAAAGGGGGCTTGCCAAACTTTTGGAGAAACAGTCGCGTGGAAGGGGAATGCAAAACTGGCTTCTGACTACAGCTCATTTGAGCCGTGGTGAATGACACAACCTACACGGTTTAGACGCACAGCACCCACTCTCGGCCAAAGTTTGAGGGCCCGCCCAAAAGAGCAGAAACAGACCCTGTTGAAATGGGTGCGGGACAGGGGCAACTAGGAAAGAAACGCCACTTGAAAGCCATCGAGGCTTGCAAACTTGAAGCTTCCAATCATGCAACAATCCGGGGTTGTTCTCAGGCCAAAGGGAAACCGGGAAACCAGCAAGAAACCAAAGGTGAACCAAAGGCAAACCAAGGGGAAACGACCAAAACCGGCTGGGAAACCGGAGGCGCAAAACCAACGGCAAAACCCAACGAAACCAAAAGGATAACAAAGGACATCAAGCCTTTGAGGTCCCCGATTTTTTCGGAAACGCCTGCAGAACTATAAACTTGCCAGAACATCAGCATCGAGCCAAGCTTCCCAGGGCCCATAGCACCTTGGCTGCCACGGCCAATGAGGGTGGGTGGGGGGCGATCATGGCCCTTCCCGCTTTTAGTGATTGGGCTAAGAGGAAGCCAATCAAATCTGAACCTCAAAGAACGCGGATTCTTGGCGGTTGGCTTTCTCAACAAAAAGCTACAAGCAGATTGGAAACTAGCGGACTCCACTGAAGAGCTAAAACGCCAACCATGTCACTTTGGGAAAATGCCAGGGCCCTTTCCTCTAGGGGGGCTTCCGGCTATTGTATGGTCAACTTCTCGAGGAATATTCATCTAGCAGATCTATTGTAGGGGTGGGGGTCCTACTGCTAAATGGCCCAAATCCACTTCGAACCAGTCAGGTGGTCAAACCATTGTTCATGAGGCTAGCTGGAGGTGGGATGCATAAAAACACCAGGCACCCTGGGATTAAACCCACCTACCAAGTGGTGCAGAGTCTGACAACTGCCGTGAGCACGTTGCAGAGCTCCTGGGGGTAGAAGTCCCAGACCAGCTTCCGCGAGGCCAGGGCGATCTTCCGCGCCAGCTCCGCGGAGCTCGGCACCTCCCCGGTTCTTTCGGGTGGAAGGACCCCGGGGAATGGGGAGGATACCTAAGATACCCGCAGAAACATGATAAAAACCACTGTTTCCACAACCTCCTGTTTGATGATGGCCTGTTGCCACCCCAAAAGGGGACTCGCCTTTAATCTGCTGCAAATCCTGCGGCCGCCCTGGCTTTCTACGGCCATGGTTAGAGAACACGGCAAAGCGGGAAATGATCGCTGGGCTTGCTTGAAACCATTGGTGCACACTTCCAAAAAGCCATGGCTGACTTTCTCGCAGAGCGGCCCTGGGAAACAAGGCAAATCATGTCACTGGACGCTGGGGGAGCGGAAGGGGTCAGTCAGCTTTTGCGAGGTACGACTTAAGGAAACAGCCGTTTGCAGGGCTCAATTCCATTTCAGAATGCTGACAAGGAAACAAGAGATTTCAACATGGCACCTGACTGAGAATGCATCTGTCAGCGCTCAATGGTGACTTTTTCATTCACCTGATGTGCGCTTGATGTCGGTCTTTCCCTGGGGCAGGCCACGAGAGTGTTTTCGTTGGCTGCTGAATGCCAACTTCTAAGGCCAAGGGTTCAACCAAATGGGTGTCAGAGAAACGGATAAAGCTGGAAATGCCTTGGCAAATTGGGCCATGAGGCCATGAGGCCATGAGGCCGTGTGTTTGATGCTCGCACGTGGGCCTTGGGAAGCCTCGCCAGCGCCCACGCGAGGTTCGCCACGCCCTGGCGGTCGAAGTCTTTGAGCCGCGCCAGCGAGGCGCCGACGAGACCTGAAGCCACGGAGGCGTCGCGCACGCCCAGCGCGGCGGCCGCGTGGGCGATCGAGGACACCGCCTGAACGAAGCACGCCCAGTGAGCCGAAAGGCGGAATACACATGTCTTGTTTCTCGAGCTTGCAGCCAAGGGACATGTCTTTTTGGGTGGGGTCTTTCGTTGGGAATCCCATCCTTTTCTTGTGGTTGAACATGTTAGTGGGAAACCACCAGTGGGCTTTTCACTACCGCCTTTGAAAAGAGGTGGCACAGGGGACCCGTCCCGTCAACCTGAGGCCTAGTGGTTAACCACCTCAGCTGCATCCCTGGCTGGACACGTGACATGGAATCGATCTGTTTTTTCTGACTTATGTCTACATCATGGGGTCCAAAAAATTGAGTTCTGAGAAGCTTCCCCCAAACCACTACACCCCAGGAAAATGGGTTACAATACATGAACAGTTTACTAGCCTGTTCGAAATCCCGTGGGCCGAATCACAATCCGAAATCCTCCTAATCCTTATCTTGGTTGGTGACCTTGTACAAAACCATAATATATCATGATATGTTGGAGCAAGGAAAATGCGAGCAACGCACAATCCACAATCCACAAGCCGCAGAATCTACTCCGCGCAATCCACAATCCGCTAATCATTGGGAGCTAGGTTGAGAGTGACGAGATAGTGGCCACGTATGAACCTCAGTGTTCTCCACTTTGTCCCAAACAATGAAGCTTCCGCATCGCAGTTTCCCAAGAAACCTGGCCTATAAAATTGGACGAAGCCAACCCTGGGTTAACTCCCAGAAGCGAAGAATCCCCTCTCAACTCAGACCCCGTTTTTGCTTGGGTCGTTCAAAATGGGGGTCCCTAATCCTAAGCCGTAGTAAGAATCCACGACAACAAGGGACACCACCGCCATCTGGCACAAGGCTCTTGCGGATTTTGTGAAGCAGTCAGAATGGGATGCACTTGTACTTTTTTCTTTGGGCAAGCCCATGCGCCTTAGCATCACACTCTGGGAGCTGCATTACAGCGGCAGCTCTGTTAAGCAAGGCGCCCAAGGCCTCGTTGCCGGCTAGGCTGCTCCTTGGGGCTGAGTTTCCCAAAATGTCTGGACATGTTTATAAATGTTTATGAACCACTCTTGCTCAGGGTCTTGCAAGCAACGTGTTTTCAGAAAGTGGCTGCTTTTCAGAAACTGGCTACTGGTGCTTTGACCCAAAGTTGCCACCAACCCTGCTCCTCTCCAAGTTTGCAGACCCGTGCAAGCGTGACAAACGGTGCAGCGCTGTGGCCACGTTGATGGCGTTGAATTCGGAGCACCGCTGTTCGACAAGCGCCAGCAGCGGATCGGACCCTGCGTTTGCCGCCTGGCTGATCTGCCTGTTCAGCCATGCCATCCTCGTGCAAGGCTACCGTCTTGACCGTCACCACTTCGCCATGCACATGGCACAAGAGAATACTGAGCAAATGGCCCAGGAATTTGCAGGCCAACTTGAACTAATACTGCTTTGGTTCGGGAAAGGGATTGATCGAACAGAACTGTGCTGGACGACCTGGCCCCTGCGGCATCATCGTCTCTCAAATAGTGACACGAGGTACCAGTTGTCAAGTCTGAAGTCTAGGGACACCTGTTTCGTCAATGCCAAAAACAAGCCAACAAAAACTACACCAATGGCACCATTTCGAGTGGCCACAAGTGTTGATAGATTCTGCGCACTGAAGAAACCCAAGAGACATGCCTTTTGCTGAGCCAAAGCGAAGCAATAGCTCGACAGCTTTGTCTCGGTCGAGCAAGTTTCACAGCAGGTGACCCTGGCCAATTATATTGGAAGTGATTATTTCACATACCATCCGCACGCGCAAACGCTTGGTCCTTCCGTTCCCAACTGGCCTCCGGCTATTCAGCCAGGAGTTGATTCTGCTCGGGTGTTGCTGTGGTCGGGGGGGCATAGGACCAGTTCTATGCATCCAAACGGCCCCCCGCCCCTGCCGACACAACTCGTGGACCCCCCCCCCTCGCCAAGTCCCCCGCTGGAGACCGGCGGGGTGACAAGGCTCCAGCAAAGCAGGAGCCTGGCTCTGGCGGGTTCCTTTTTAGTTGGTCTTAGACCTTTAACTGACCATGGCGTGTTTGACATGCTTTTCAGGGACGGACCTCTTTGCAAGAACATAGCTGATGTGTGTCCGCGCGGCCGTGCCAGTGTGAATTGGGTGTTTACAACAGTGCATGCAAGTTTTAGTAGGAAGCAATGGCACCATTCAGGGGCAAAAACCACAACGGAAAACTAAATCGCTTTTGACGCAACTTAAGACAGCTTTTCCATGATAGAATGTGAGCAGAGTTCTTTTGGCATCACATAGGCGCGTGACATGCCAGCGAGAGGAATCCGCTATGTTTCGCAAAGCACCCCATGGCTTGTGAAGAGTGGCCGCGCAAGAGTCCAAATCCGGTAGTACTCCAGGCGCTTTACATACTGTTAGCAAGAACAAGATGTGCATGATGTATCTTTTTCCGCAAAGTCGCGAATGGTGATCTGGAGAACTTACCAACGCGTATCAAGCAAGCGTTTGGCCAAACATGAGTTTTGTTTGTGTCAAAACAGCAGAGGCCCACCCCCACCACCCAAAAGCCAGGTCTCGAGGGTGAACAAATGCGTTTTGGCTGGCGGTCGATAAAGGGTCTCTCACCTTTTAGTTGGGGTCGGGTGGGTAAGAAAATGCGACCTGTGTTAGATTCTCCACCTTTTTCCTTGCCTTTGCTTGCCCATGTCCATTCCAGTACGCAAGGAAGCAAGCAAAGCAAGGTAAGGCAAAATCAAACAAATCCAAGCAAAGCAATGCCCATTGACTCTCATTACACTTTGGGGTGTTTACAGGGCATCGCTTGGGACGAAAGTGGCGCCCTGCCTACCACGGAAAAGACACCAGCAGTCCTTAGGATGCCGGCATGTTGGCTCACGCTCAAGCCCAGCATCCCCTCCCAAAGGAGCTTTACCATTTAATTAACACAGGCTGCTCTCGGGCAATGCCGGCCGATTGACATGTGCATAATGTCTACGAATACAAACATGGCTTGTCCTTCCCTGTTTTGCATGCACACTGCATAGTGCGCAATCCTGACATCCGCGCTCAGCATGGGTTCCAACTGCAGGGCTTGTCGCACACCGCCATAAGCCTCCCGCAATGCGACCAGGCTGAGAGCAAGCACCTGAGGTCTGCAGAAAGCTGCGAGGGACAGGGATGCCCACTGAATCAGAGCCCATTCAGAGCCCCTGTTTCAGGGAATGACCGAACCACATTTGAGCAGCCCCCTCCGTATTCCGAAGCTAACATTCCCCAAGCCGGGGCCTACCCTGAGACCCAAAGGACGCTCTGAGCTCATGGCGGCGCACCTTCGCGGAGCCATGTCGCGGCTATTGCTCTGCGTACTCCGAAACTTGGCTCTTGGCTCTGAGTGCTGGCTCTTGGCTTTGACCCTTGCACCGCTCCCTGGCTTGAAGGAATCCAAGGCAGAACCCAAGCACGTGCGAATGGCCGCAGCTGCAACTGGCAACCCAGCAGGCGCGCCCGCAAGGCGCAAGCGCCGGTTTTTCTGTCAAGCGATGCCAGGCTGCCAGCGCAAAGGCTAGGTAACGCGCAAACTCTTCAGCAACCAGTCCCTGGTCCCCTTTGAAGGGATCCACGGAGGTTGTTTAAACGGTCGAAACGTGCTCAAACAACGGGTCGAATCGCCCAACCCTGCTTACAGAAGCTGCCACGGAACTTGCCTCCTGGGAGGAGGCACTGGGGGTGAAGCAAGGCCTGCCTCCCGGTTCGGGTTCGGCGACGTGGGTGACGCTGCAGACATCGGAGACATCGGCGACATCGGCGACTCATCTGGTCGCAGCGGACGCCTACGTGTGCCCAGCGAAGTCGGAGTCACAGAACGCGACATCCCGGCAAGGCTATGGGGTTGTTGTCGCTAATTGTTTTTTCTGGGTGCCATTTTGGGGGGTGGGGCTGGCTCAATATTTTCACACATTCCCATATGGCTTACTTCCTTGCTTGGGACCATTGCACCCCAACATGTGCTGGCCCGTGCCTAAAGCAAACAACTTCAATGGGGACCATGGTGCCCGCCTTGCCAAATCCAGTGCCAGACTAGCAATATGGCAATATGGGCATGCATCCAGACCTGGATCCTTTTTGTGAGACCTCTGGGCAAACCTTTCGGCATGCAGTGATATTTGTTTGTTTTGCTTGCGCTCCCCCAGCTGGCTTGCAACCGAGGGACTGTCCAACACGGGCAGCTCACGCGCTCCATTCACTTTAAGAAAGTACATCTCCCCTAAGCATTTGCTGTGCCATGTGGCAGTTTCCATCTTGGAAGCTCAATGGTGGTCAATCCCACTTGGTGAACATGCTCGGGTGACATACATCCCCCATCGAGTCCCGTTCGCGACCCCGTGCCATATCATGATTTCGACCTACTTGCTATAGGGGCATAAAATGACCCTTCGCAGGCTCCCTTGGAACATGGCAGCTTGGATGGAGAAGAAACATCGTAGCTTTACTCCGGCCAGCGAGTGGCCTCCGCGACCCTGTTCATGGGCCCCTGAAAACCACGCCCTTCCAAGGCCGGGCCTATCCGCCCAGCCCCAGGCAGAGGACCGGTCGTGAGGCGACGCGGGCGACGGGGAGGGCGACGCGTCTAGGTGACGCAGCTTCCGCACCCCGTGGTATACAGGACAATTGATCTCCTTGGCTGCAGAAAATGGAAACCCAGGATTCAAAAACCCTCGGATGACTAATTGTCGCTCCATCTAAGGAATGTTTTAAGAGGAAGGCAAAAGGAAAACGATCAACGAAGGCCCCAACAGGTCCCAGCATCACAAGCTTATCCGAGGCTGGCTTATCCTAAACAAAACGATGGACCCAGCCGTGCGAAATGAGACGTCTACAAGCCGTCTCTCTGAAGAGTGTTGAATTCCCAGAATTTGCGTGCAGAATCTGCAGTTCTGCAATTCTTGGTGGCACACGGCTCTGGGCACATGGCTTTGGGCGACTCCGTGCATCAGCCTATGACATCTATGGAATACCATCAGCGTGCACTGAGCGAGCTTCGTTGGTGTTGTCTAGGTCGATGTTGCCAAAGGAGCCCCTGTGAAAGGCAGGGTATTCCAAGGAGCCATATATCACGTTCCGTCTCAGCCTACCCCATGCATTGTCGTCGATGGAGAAGGCGTTGACTCGCTGAGCTCGGCCATCGATGTAGCATGAACTCGGTTCGGCCAGCATCCACAATTGCTACCCTGGGAAGCGATGCTCTGACCCTTTCAAGTCTTGGGCTTGCATGGCAAACAGCAAGGGCGGGTCTCATCTTCCAACCTCCTGCCCTCTTCCATAATTGTTGGAAGGAGGATAAATCTGGTGAGCAGAGTGGGGCTCTCAGCACAGGGCCCTACAAACCGCAAACCGCACCTGAATCTATAAGTCTCACTATTTTCCAAACCTCAAATACGGGATCCAAGAAAAGGACCTGCATCTTAGTGAGCTACCAGGTGAGCTCGCCATAGGCAGACAGACCTAACGGTCGACCGCATCCAATCCCAGTGTGTAAAAGGCTGAGTGGCTCGATGGTCGCTGCGGAGTCCCTGCCCAGCCAGATGCAGCTTGTGAGGCTGGATCGGAGGCCTTGCTCATTGAGCTCGCCTTGCACAAAGCGCTGGGCAAAGATAACCAAAGGCTGCGGTCCGACTGTCTCGTCTTACGGTGCAAACGGAACATGCAATGGAGACAGGTGCAAATGTGTGAAATGCAATCTGACCAATTGAACACACAAGGAGCATCGGCTAGGCTTAGTCATCCGGGCGTGCGCTATCTGCATCAGGACATGTTTTTGAGCAACTAAATGTAAAACATGAAATACCTAAGCCTAGCTAGAGCATGACACCCAAGACTGCACAAATGGAAGCCGGCCAATGATGCCAAGCCACCCTGCACATGAAAGCTGCAGTGGCGAATCACCGGCGCCCCACTTTTGACCACCACGCTCATGTTTGTGTCGCAGTCGACTAACTCAGCCTCCGTCGCATCAATAAAGCCTGCGTAAGATTTTTCAACTGCGGACCCGCCATTCTCGCCAACAAGAACTGAGTTGCCCCACATGGCAGGCATCCCTAAGCCTACCCCGTGTCTGGATACCACTACAACATCCTAAACGACTACTATCTGGAACCAGGGGTCAAGAATTTGATTTTGAACTGCCCGGAAAAAATACAATACCTGGTACTAGTGGTGCGGATTGAATTGGAAAAGCCTAGTTTTCTGTCCAAAACCCTCTTGTTCAAAAAGGGGGCTGACAGATCTCCCGCAACACTGCTGGCCTTTGTAGCGGTTGTTTGCCACTTACCAACATGCAACCTGACGGTGTGATGCTGACGCAACCAACAAACCCACACAACTCAGCCGAAGATCTGTCCGACGTGCCGATGGTGAGCATCTGCGTGTATTGGCATTCTGGATCACAGCGGAAGCAAACCGATTCGAACTTGACCCCGCGAGAGGCAACCACAATGCTGCCTCAGCTTGCCATGCTTGTCTATCCTCAAACGACTACCACGCTACATGCCCACTAAAACTGATGGATATCTATATATATTATTATGTATATATATATATATACAGTTTCCCTTTTCGGGTAGTGGCTTGGGGGTAGTGGAAACCATTTGAGAAACTAAGCCACTGTCAGAGTGTGAGACTATCCAAAGGAGACACAAAACATGTTTGTCACTTGGTGTCGCAAAATGAATTCCCAGAATTGGTTCATCCAAAAGATCATAGAGCCGGATATTTTGACACAGCCTCATTTGAATGTTTTCTAAACCACTTCCGGCCCCGTGGTTTGCGGGGTCAGGCCGTGAAATGCCGTGAATTGGCAGAAGCATTTGGCCCACATATTGGTCAATTCACTCTGGGGGGTATCTAACTTCAAGTCGCCGTGCTTGACTAGGGCAGTGGTTAGGTTGAGTTGAGCTCAAGGTTTGGCGTCTCAGCTTTGGATCATCAAGCTTGGACGCACTACATGCTGAAACCGCTGTCATTCACATACTCTCACGCTGGTTTCCCCCTTCAAGAGATCCATGGTCCCATGATGTCCCATGTGCAAAGCACCCCTGAATTTCTTGCCACCAGATCTGGCGATCCCCACCCCCGCCAAGCCGCCCATGAGCACAGTGTCGGACTTGCGAGAAGCCATGTTGCGCCGGATGAGAACCGGCTTCTTCAGCCTTGGCCCGAAAGCATCAGCCCAAGCATCGGGGAAATGAGTCAACCAGGGAGATTTCACAGTTCTATCAGGGTCTAAGCAGGATGTCAAAACTTCAGCCCCGCTTTCAAGAGCGCACTGGAAAAGTGCCCACCAACCCTCCCACCCACCCACAACAAGGCCAAGGTTGTGCCACATGCAGCCTCGCATTCCAACTAAGTCACTCCAAGAGCTCGAAGCTGTGAACGCCCTCCGGAATCCTTGGCGTTTCCCGACAGAAACAACCAGGGGTCAAAAAAACAGATACAGAGGTCAAAAACAGGTAGCCAAGTCTTTTCCACGGGATGGCTCTGTATTTGTTGGAGGGACGGTAAGGCTCAGGTTAAGAGATCAAGAGCTGCTGTCTCATTCAAAATGCCGCATCTTGAAATCAGCAGGGTGTCTACACACGAGACTTGCTACAACGGGGCCTCCAGAATGCTTGGTTTCGCTTCGCGCCCATTGAAGTACCAACTTAAACGGAATCCACCATTTTACGAAACTCCGATTTGCCTTCAGCCCAGCTTCTCCACGATGGTGTAGGGCACCGCTTGTTCGATGATACGCTCCAGCGACACCCCGTCGCGGCCAACAACCTTTCGGGAGGACAAGCAAAAACCATTCGCATGTGAAGAACTCTACCCGCTCGAGGCTTCTCCATCGCAAAACGGTTTCGAACCATTGACGCCTGCAAAGCCATACTCTCTCTCTCTCTCTCTCTTTCTCGCGCTCTGTCTTTGTCTCTCTCTTTTGCTGGGAGTATCCTCGAAATTGCTGGCGGACAACAATTCTCACAAAGATGTCCGCCACAGAGTGTCAGAGATGATTCCCACATTGCTTCTTTGCGTCCAACCTTCCCTCACTTTGGTTGGTATCCTGAACAATGCACGCCAACATAGCAGCCATGTTCAGAGAACAACCTCGCAACAAAATTACCCTCACTCCCTTCCTTGGCTGCCATAGTACCTGATGGATAGTTGGTCCCTTCAAGGGCAATTTTCTTCCAGGTGCACTTCAACAGCTATCAGACTGCAAGGTTGCTCCAAAGACCGGATCGGAAGGGTAGAAGTTCGGCCCCGAAATTCACCTCTTTCCCACAATTATGGTGATAGGGGCTCGCCCATCCCAACTGCTGCCTGGCGTGGCTGGCTTCCTGCTGGCTTCCTGCTGGCTTCCTGCTGGCTTCCTGCTGGCTTCCTGCTGGCTTCCTGCTGGCTTCCCGCTGGCTCACCAACCGCCAGGCACAAAAGCAAAAGGCGGCCGGGCGGCGCGCACCGGCGGCCCGCTCCGCTGCAGCTTCATCTCCCGGACTTCGGTGCGGAGTGCCTCCCGCGCGAGGGCGGCACGACCCAAGAACCGCAGGCGGCCGCTTCCCGGAAAGAAAGGGAAATCAACCTTACCACCCCATGTAAACCCAAGAGTGGGCGGTAGAGGCTTCTGCTCACCTTCCCCTTCAAGCTCCCCAACACAGATGGGACTCTTCCAAAATGTTCAGTAGACCCCTGATTTATACTGGTTACAGTAGTGAATGCGCCCCGGGCCAACCAAAGCAGGGCTCCTTCGAAGGAAGGCCTGACAAAACGCAAAGGGATGGAAAGGGCCACGTTGGGGGACGTAATGCAAGGGAACCTAGGATGGAAAGCAGCTGGTTGATTCCTAGGGGCCCATCTCGGAGGTCCTTCAGCTCGAACGGCTTCCACAAAGAAACATCGTTTGGCACACCTTAAGATCCTTTTCGGACAGGGAAGGATCATGTGCCCTATGGTTTGGCGAGGGTGCAAATCAACAATACACCAGAGGCCGAGGAAAAAGCGCGCAGCCCGGGCCTCCATCTGGCGCTGCAATGCCTGCAGTGAGAGTGCTTGGCAAGATCTTGGCAAGTCCACAGACGCCCAAATGAGTCGACTTTTTGCCGACCAAAAGGAAGGTTTGAAGGAAACCCACAGCGACAAAGCGTCCGTGAGGTGAGCTTCGGGGGTGCCACACCTCATCCCAATCCGATCCGATTCGGATCGCCTCGCGGTCTCGCTGGATGGCCTGCACCTCCCGCGCCAGGCGGGCCACCTCCTGAATCAGAAATTCCTTTCGCTGGTTTCCATGACTTCGTGGTTTGGGCTGGCCCTAAAGCCCAAGACCCTAAAGCCAAAAAGCCGTATGACGAGATCTTCTGATTAAGTGATCCGCGTTTACGACACAAGCTGATGCTGGGTATATGTCGTCAAAGCTACGGCAACCTTTTACATAACCCCGCGTAAAAGAACCAAATAAATGCCGAAAGGGCCCCCGTTTTCGTCCTCAGCTTCCCTCGGCAACGGTTGGCAAGCCAAGTTGAGTTGGACCCTCCTGGGGTGTTGGGTTTGCGAGTTTTGCACTTCGGGTACCATATGGTACCATGCAACTCGTCGGCTTCGAGCCAGAGAAGTGGATGCTCCTCACGCAGACCTCTTTTACTGCCGGCAGTTCTCCCTTGGAGTTACCAACGCTGAGCTTTGCCTTTTGCCGGCGAGGACTGGCGAGCATCCATTAAATGGGCCTGACTTGAAGCAAGGGATCTCTACCAAAATCAACAGCGTTTTGCATCCAAAGAGTATCAACACCACTATCTGATTTGGGAGGTGTGTGAGCCTATGGGCCACCGAAATCGTTGTTTGTGGGGCAGCGTCTCCAGCTTTACAAAAGCGGTATGTTGCCTCCATACCTCCAACACCCATTCCTGAAAGAGGGTAGCTGCAAGCAACCCCCCCCCCCCCCCCGCCGGTCCATTGAAGCACCCCTCAGGGAAAACAACTCCTGCCTGGATGACCACATCCGCGAAAGAGGGCCCTTTCAACAGCCTCCAGGGCTGGTGCCATTGAAGCATACTCCCAAACGAGCCTGTGTTTCAAGCCGTGTCAGCCAGCAGGTAAGTGAGCCACCAACCTCCGTGCATGTGCGCTTTTGCCCCTGGTCTCGGCTGTTGAATCCCGCAGACAATATGTGCATAAGAAAATGTTGATACATTTGTGCAAATATGCTGTAGATGGATGGACAGACTAGGTTGGGTTTAGATTGGAATTTGAGTAATAGGTAGGCCAGTAGATTGGTAGATAGGATAGAGAATGTGGTTGTACGTATCAGGAGGCATCTTCCAATGTCCACGGCTTCCGTCACTGGGACCCCTCCACAAGGCTCTGCTAGCTGCACTGGGGTACCAGCTCCAACACATTCCCGTTTGCCTGCCCCGCATTTATCAATGTAACATAGGTCGATACGTCGGTAAGTTCTACAAGTGGCATATCTAAGAGGCACCTGGCCTGGACTGGGCCGCTGTGGGCGACTGGGCGGCTGAAGCGGCAGCATTCTGCATGGCTGAAGGGTTCTGATCGGCAAGCCCTGAAACTTGCCGTTGCTTTGCTGGGTGCAGCATCGCGCTGCCTGGTGGCTATCTAGGACACCCCCTTAGCCAACTGCCTTTGAGACCCAAAAGAAGTCCTGCACATCTCGGCAAACCTTTGGAGCCGGACTTGGCGACAACAGTCGTGAGATCCAAGTGGCATTCAACACGCTGCCGGGGTCCTGAAGAGGCACACTACAAGCACACACAGTGCACGCATGCGACCCGAAACCTTTTCAAGCCTCTCCTGCGCTGCTTTGATGCCTTTTCGGTGCTGCCGACATTCGCTGCCAGGGGCGCATGGCAAACTTGAGGTGCCCTGCACTCTCTCCCTCGCTCACGGGATGCGTCGCAGCAGCGGCCTCACGCGTGGCAAGTGCAAAAGCACATGCAAGCGAGCGTGCGCGGAGTTGACCTGGACGTGAGATCTCTGAGGGCACCACTTTGGGTCTGCAAGGTATATGCCTTGCTGCTCATCCTGCAACGCCCCGGCAAGCGCACAGAAATGCCCTGCAAAGTATCAAACCAATCATCGCGAGACATGCGCATCTCCAAGAGTTGGAGCGGTGTGCTTGCTTTTTTTTCTCTGGCTGCACTGCTTTGCGCGCCGTACTATACTCAGTGCCACTCAATGATTTCAGAGTGGGCTTTTCCAGGCACATTGCAATAGAATTCCTTTGGCCTACTGTGCGCTGTCCCAACGGGCCTACTCAAAGCTCGTAGTGGTCCAAGGGCTGGTCCCCATCGCCGCCGCTCGACCCAGACTTCAGCCCGAGTGACAAGAAGTAGGTCACCACATAGATGGCCTTTTGTCGACCGGCAGCCATGGGAGAAAAAGTGTTTTCTTTATTGCATTGCGCCATTCATCTGCATGGGATGGAACCAAAGAGGGCCTTCTGGCTTGACTCATCCGCTGCTAACACTCAGAGGTGATCAAGCACATTGCGCAGGACTTCGTGGACAAACAGGACCAACCCGAGTCTGTCAAAACCCCTACCATGGAAGATGCCCTAGCAAGAACGCATGGCCAAGCAAACAGTTTACCAATCCCCTCCCCCAAAAAACGATGCATTTGCGGGTCTAACTCCTGGCAAGCTTGCAAGCAAGCCGAATTGACATCGCTCCATATCCCCATTTGGAGATTCACACCCAAATTATGTGTGTCCTACCGACGTGTTTGTTGAGACACGTTGGATGGTCCAACATGTCCCCTCCAAGCCTGGCACCTTCGGGGGTCCTACTGAAAGCCAACCCGCAGCTGGCCAACCTATCCTTCCCACCCATACGGGCGCTGCCTTCTGAGGATACTTACGTCTTGTTAGTGGCTTCAAAGGAGAAACCAAAGGGAAGCCAACCATTTCATGGGGCTCTGTCCTTCCCACCACTCCGGAAACTCCTGCCCGGATGCGATGGTAGTTTTACGCATCATCTGCTGCTTGGGGTTCCAAACCGCCCGCATGACCCGCAGCCTATGTTGCGTGTGCACTGCACATCCTCTGAACTTACAGTAGGCTACATACGTCGTCAGTTGCTCATATGTCATTTTGAGGGCACCCTTTCCTGGTTGGCTCATGTTGGCTCAAAGAGCCCAGTCGGACACTCGGCTCCTCCGATTTTGCCCACCCCTTCCCGGGGCCCCGGCCACCCCGACGGAAAGGATCACCATCACGGAGCCCACGATCTCGAACCAGCTGCTCCCTGTCTTCTCCCGCACCGAGGGGTCCGGCAGCGTGGGCACCAGCTGCTGCTCCTTGCGTGCCCCTTCGGCGTCCCAAGGGCTATGAATGTATGAATTTCAATTGGGGACCCTTCGGTGGACATCATTTGGGTGGTGGATGCTCTCCAAACATGTTTGAGAGAGTTCCCCGTTAAATTTCATGGCAAAAAAGGCACAGGGCAAATGTGCTCCAGATTAAATTCCTTGAAGCCAGCACATCAGCAGAGACAGTCTTTCGGTGGAATGTCTCTTTGCGCGCTTTCATTTGCAAAAGCGCTCCTCCTCCTCAGTCCGCAAAAACTATGGGAAAATTGAAGCTTGAACATAGAGATGTCGCCTAATTTGGGCGAAGTTGAGCAAGAACAAGGAATACGGAGGAGGGGTTGCAAAATATACGGACGAAGTCATGTCCTGTCCGTTTGGATATCCTTACGGCTGAAGCTCACCAGGGCCGTCTACGTCGGGCAAATAACTCAACCCTGCCACACGCGCAGCGGCCACAGTGAAGACGGGAGGCCACTCTTAAGTCACACTATGCCACTGTGCTCGACAGTTATGACAAGTGGACGCGAGGCCACTTGAATGTTCAAGGCACTGAAAGTGTGTCACAAAGCATATCGAGGGTTCCAGAGCCCATTCGAACATCCAGGTTCGACAGTTCAACCGGTGCTTGCCTGCGCGACCATGCCCCCCTCGAGCAGTTCCAAACCAAGTGGTGTCGAAATCTTTGAGAAGCGAAAAAGTCTTGCTCGGGTCGCTGTTTCTACTGGCTATCAAAGTCAGGAGCTGGGGTGGTTACCCTTTGTCCCACCGCTTAGGGGGTGACTTTGATAGTGGTACGATAATGGGGTTGGTTTTGTTGGGCAGCGGGACCCGGGCCAAAGCCCAAGCCCACCCGCCTCGGGGGAATCCTCCAGCCAGCCCCGGATCTCGGCCTTCAGCTTCGCGCGGTCGGTGGGCCACAGCCCCGCCACATCATCCTCCAGCAGCTTCGAGACCTGCGCGACCGAAGGGCGCACGCGCCTTTCCCAGTTCAGCTACGGTCGTACGCAATGGACTTTGGTCAAAGGGAGGCCAAGAGTGGAAAGAGGAACCAGTTCAAGCAAAACGATGTTTGGGGTTAATAAGTCTTAGAAAGCCGGCCAGCAACAGCTCTTTGGAACACATTGAAGGACTGGGCTCATGCTGGATGAGCAAAAATAGCCCCAAGCTTGCTATAATTTGTGCTGTTGATGTGCGAGCCTGGTGATTGACCCCAGTCTCCAGCTGCAATTCGACAACCCAAAGCCTGCAAAGCAGTTGGGTTCTGACCAGTTTGCCGGTCGCAAGGTGCTTTGATTGGCATCGCAGAAGCTGGCCCCAAGATGCCATGAACACCAGCATTCACTCTCTTGTTGTCTTTGTTTTATTTTTTCTCTCTCTCTCTCTCTTTCTCTCTAGTGATCATCCGTTTTCCTTTTTGGGGTTTGTTTGTGAAACAACCCCGGAAGAACCGTCGATGGGAAAACAAGCCAATCATGTGGGCGATGTTGCTTCAACCCAGCCCCCTCTTGGCCCCTCCTTCCCGAACAAAGGACATAGGCATCTATCCCCCACAGTACACAATTCGAAGCATTCACTTCTCCTGAAAGCAGCCCAGCACCCAGCTATTCAAAACCCATCTGAGAAAAGCACCCTGTTGAACACGTATATTGGATCCCCCTATCAACGACCCGAGTCTGAGAGCTCTTTTTGGCCACCTCCCCGGCCCATTGCCCCTTTGCGAGCCTGCTTGGACACCAAGACCTTCTCATTCACCAGGACCTCAATCCTCGTGGCACTGGGCCGGACCTGGAACTGCAGCTTCAAGCCTCTCGGGAACCTGTCAAGGTGAGAATTCAGCAGAAGCTCTGAATGACTCTTGTGGCAGGCCTTAAGGAAAAACTACACTCAAACCTTCTGTTCGTTGGGCAAAGCGTTTGCAACGAACAGCGGGCAAAAAAACAGTGGCCCTTTTGGCTCACTCACCTTTTGGTTTGGCCCTTGGACACCGACATCCCTTGATTTGACTTGTGTCGTTGCAAGTGGGGGCAATTTACATGCATGTGCACATACATAAACGCAATGCCTACATATATGTGCATATATGACCACATGTACATGTATGGTAGCCCGTCACAGAGGGCAAGAAGCGTCCCTGCCAAGTGCAGCCAAAACAAATGTTGCTCCAGAACTTAAAGGAATTGACCCAGGGCCACCCCAAACCCGGGAGCGGCTAAGACCCCACAGCTTGCATTGCTAGAAAACACAACTTCAAAGAGACATCGGTGACATTTGCAAGCCTGCTTGGGCAGTTGCTATGAAGAGCGTGGTTGGATACCTCTGCTTTGGAATCTTCAGCTTGGAAGAGTGTTCAAGCGTTTGAGTTTTCCAGGTCTGAGTTGAAGGGTTTCACTCATTTTCTATTTGACAAGTGGGTGAATAAAATTGTGAGTTTCTGTAGCGAAGCGGCGGACCCCAATAGCAATAACAGCTTCTTTGCACACCGAAACGCAACCAGGAAAAGGAACACCACGACACCGCATCGGTCTTGTCAAGATCGGATGCTCGGACACTTCCGGGTAATGGAGTATTCACCCCATAGCTGGACACTATTGGGGAATCGTTGCATATTTGCGTTAGTTTTGTAGGGCCACGTTCCCGAAGACGTTTTCTGTGACGAAGTGTGTGGTGACTCGCAACCAGGGTGCGTCATGGGTTTGAAGCGCATGGTGGCTCTCAGTATTTGCCTCTACGCCACCAGGCGGACGAGTCTTAGCCCGCCCAAACATGTAGACATATGAGAAGGGTTCTAGCAAAACCACAGCATTTGGAGGACATTCTGCACACGTGTGCCGAAATAAGCCGTTGCCAGCTGGAATTTGCAACGACTTCTGAAACACTGCCATGTTTGTTTTGAGAAAACACACAAGTTTTCAGGGCTATGGAAACCCAAAAAGTCCGAGAGGCTAGATTCACAAACTCCGCTCTCACAGGCTGGAAAGATTGGTTTTGGAAGGGGCACATTTGTATACACATGGTGTACTAACATATGTAATTATGCACATACACACAGATACAAGTATGTATGGCTGTACTTAAACATTTAATATGTGTATGTGTAGGTCATGGAAGGTCATGAGGAGTCCCAGCTTTGCAACTATGTGCACGAGAGAGGGTGGGGGAAACTGCACAAATTGCGGGCCACGCAGCCATTCGATGAGTAGCTTCTGGAGGGCATAAGCTTGCTCGTGGCTTCTGCAACCATTGACCGTGACCTGCCGTGCAAGCGCTAGACGTACTACCCCCTTGTTCATGCTGGCTCCATGAACATCCTCAACATGACCGACCCTTTGAATGGTGAATCCCTTGAAGCAAATTCGCGGCCAAAGGCCTGCTAAAGGTACCCTCCCGCAAAAAAAAGGGCATGCACCGGCCCCTTTCCAAATGAACAGTCTTCCAAAAAGGGGCTGCGCACTAAGCCACATTTGTGACTCCAAAGCAAACCGACGGATTGGAAGGGACCCGGGTTTTCCGTTGGCGGAAGCCCAAGGACCCCACCTTAAACCGTCTGTGCCGCTGCGGTGTCATTTCGAGTAAGCCGCGGCAGTAGTTTTCAAAGCTTGCGGCCATGCATTTCAGCCTCTCAAACTCAAGAAATCCACTTGCTTGCTTGGGTTTGCCAGAGAAAGCAAAACATAAAAGCCAACTGAAGGTGATTCCTCCAATGACGATCCAAACCCATTCGGGACTCTCCCAAATTGCTGGTGGCGCTTTGCTTTCCCTTTACAACAACCGCTGAAACAAGGTAGCCTCAAGAAAAGACGGACCCATGAAAGCTGAAGGGGCCTCGGCTGCCGGGATCACCCTCTTGGAGGGCTGGCCGTCCATCTGCACAGCGGTGGCCATGACTCGCCGGGCCAATGGCCGGGCGGGACGCGGGGGCCACGCGTTTTTCGCTCGTGCGGAAATGCGTGCGAGCCCGCTGGATTCACATGTTGAGCCCAGCACACTGGCGTGTGTCGGAGAAAAAGGGCAGTCATACTGCGTTGAGACATGCGGCTTGACGGAATGGCAACTCTCCGGCGCTTCTTGTTGAGCCAAGCAAGAAAATGTCAAGCACAGCGGAAGCAGGAAGAATTTGAAAGCTCCTGCCTTGCTGCCTATTGCTGCCTAGCAAACGGCTCTGTATATCCATACGTTTGGTACCCCCACTGAACGGTCACTTCAGCATCCTCAAGGAGTTATTTAAATCTGACAGTCGGCCAGCACGACTTCTCCACACTGTCCTCACACCCGTTGGCCAGGCGATTTCCAGTGTGCTGTACCTGCTCCGCGTGCCAAAACTCAGAAGCACTTCCATGTCATCACACAGGTTGGGGTCGCGTGCATGTTGTGGGGCGTTGTCAAAAGCAGCGCAGATTGCCCCGCGCAGGGTGGCGTACATGCAGACTCTGGAAGTACGCCATGCGGTCAGGCGAAGGCCTGAGCCGGATCAGTCTGGACTTGATATGTCAAAGTGACCTGTTCAGGAAGGAACAGCCCAGAAACAGCATGAATCCTTGGATAGGGCTGGTTTCAACAGCTCCCCACTTGTGAAAGGATGTCCCCATCCCCGACCTCTGGCCCAAGCTAGTTCCAGTCCGGCTGCTTTCCCAAGACTTGGGGCGCCAAAATGGCGCCCATTTCCTCGGGTCACCCAAAGGCCCGGCCTAATGGGCACGATACTCGGCATATCGCCGGTCAGTCTGTCGAGTCTGGATTCCAGCGCCTCAAAGCGCGCGAAAGCCGCCAACCGGGCACGCATTAGAGGCCAAACAGTGACATGTGAGCTATGGAAACCGCAGGCTTCATCAAGGATATCTTGGCTTTGGCGAGGCCCTTTGACCGTAACACCAATCAAGATGTCAATCCTGGCCCAATCCGACCCTCTGCAGAAACATGCAAGCCAGTGCCTCCAGGCGCCGACTAGTGGAATGGCTTGATTCTGCCTCGGGCAAGGCTTGCGCCATGCACCCGCCAACGCCTGCCAAAGCTTGAAGTGGACATCGCCGCACGTTTCTCCGAGGCCAAGTCGTCCCGGCCATGCTCCAAAGCCTGGGGCTTCGCTATCAAGCAGCCGGCTGCTGAGGCTTAGCCGAGCAGCACGCAAAACATGTTGACTTTGGTTTCTGCCAAGATTGTGTAAAAGGCGTCTTTAACCCGTAGCACAACCCAGAAAACAAGGAAGTGGAACCACTTACCAAACTGGCTGATTTTGTCCCAAGGGGAGGCCGACAAAACCTACTATGTTGGGCAACTGCTTTTTTATGCAAACAGACCTGTAAATCACAGGGCATTGCCTGCCCTGCACATGTGCCCACCTGCTTTGTTCCAGCCTTACCCACAAGAGAGGAAATAGAACTGAACTGCATATTTGCCCGGCCTTTGCGAGGAGCCGCACATTGTCATCGCTGGCTTTCTGCGGTGCGGAATACAACTAGCGCGTCACAGCACACACGAGCCAGGGCTGCTCAACTGGCTTCAATGGAAGTGCCAGAACTGGGCTCTCATGGAGTTGACCCCAAAAGAAAAGGCTGCCCCTGGGGAACCCTGGCATCATTTTTCCGCCTTTAAAGGGAATCGGCAGAAAGTGATGCTGCCCATCACCCTTTCAACAGCGGGGTCCGCCGGTTCTTCTCCCAAGAACGCGCCAACCTTCTTTTGCCGTGCTCACGGGAAACCATCGGCATACACATTTGCTCTCCGCACATATACAGGTATATATATATATATATATATTTGTCCCCTTAAAACATCACCCCACCAAAAGAAGACTCATTTTCAAACGGCAAATGAAAGATTGTTTTGGGAGGTGTTCATGGCATCCGCGGCCATCTCGCGAGTTGCTCCTCCCGGGCCTGCTCCAACCCGTGCCGGAGAGGAGCCAGCCTCGGAGCAATCGTCACAGCGATCAGAGCGAGGACTTCGCTGGCCCCTGAGTGGTGATGCCCCTGTTTCGGAGCTCCTTCGAAACCTTGTGGCTCAAGAGGTGTTCGTATGCTCGCCTTGGGTATGTCACTTCGGCCGATTGTTGGTGGCCCATTGTCTCCACGGACCCCTGCCTTCACAAAAGTATCGCGCTCAGGGCACATGTCTGGTAAGGATGGGGGGGTAATGGGGAATCAACAAGCGGAGGAGCTATCCAAAACTTGGATAGACACGGATCATTCCCAGCTTGGCTCCCTGCAGGTCTTCCATGCTCCTTTGCAGACTGCCCAGGAGCCTGCAGATGAAGGGGCCATGCTCCCGTTAATATGTCGCTGAGCGCAACCAGTGGCATCACCCCTAGCGCATGGCCAAATCGTCGATTTGAACAGTGAGCCATGGTGCGAGTGCAAACATGTTTGCCAGCCAGAGCCCTCACAGTAACCAGAGCCCTCGCAGGGGTACAGTTTTCATTGGGGACCTTGTGGTGGATATCGTGAACATGGGGATGGCCAAATCAAACCATGGCCACAGCCATGGGGTCCCAATGCGCTATGGGAGGCCTGCTCTCGTCCGGCAGCGACCTCATCACACGTGCGCGCGCAAGCCACGGCACCAAGGAACGGCGCCACCAGCCATACGGCCGTTTCCTGCCAAACGGTTTGGATCCCTCAAAATTGATCTTCAAAGGGAGCCGTTTCCCATCTCAGCTAGCATGGCGTTTCTCTTTGAAGGAAGGCCCTTTTCCGTTGGAGGTTGCCCGAGCGATGCAAGCAGGCCAAGCTTGAGGGGTGACCCACGACCTCAACGTGGACCCTTGATGCTTAACTGCCGTCATCCGCCAGCCCGAAACCCTTCAGCCTTAGCATTGAACCCTAAAGGCCCTAAAGAATACGCCCTAAACCCCAAGTCGAGCCGGCTGTTGTTGCATGCCTTGAGGCCCATTCGCCGATTGCACACTGAGGGCATGGCCGAATTTGCGCCGAGAACACGAAACAGTTTTACCATCAGGGGGCCCCTAAAATTAAGCCGGTTGCTGTCTGCATTTGCTTCAGGGCCACGAGCTCCAAGAATGTTCGGCTCGCGGAAATCCTTGAGGCTCCGGCCGCTCTGAGCGGCGCAAACCTCGCGGGCAGCGATTCTGCGGGAATGCGGACGAAGGATACGGATTTGCCCCGGAATGGGCCCGAAAAACCTTAGATGTTCGGAATCGGAAGAAAGTGTTTAAAACCCATTTGGGTGGCTACCCTATCTTGAGACAAACCCATACTGCTGCACTCATGTTCGCTCATGCCCCAGTCCTTCCAGCGATAACTCCATCTGTCTCGCCTGTGCTTCCACTGATGCAACCTCAGGGTTGCATTCAGCAAACCGGCGCCTGCGAAACACCATGACTGCATGCCAAGAATAAGCTTGCATGCCCAGCGGCCATGGAAAAGAAGGACGCACTTTTGTCTTGTATGAGTTTCATAAAGGAAAAGCAACCCACCCCCTCCCCCATCCAAAGGAAAGGACAAAAAGTGTTAGCGCCAGAGGGCTGCTGGGTGAGCGGCCAATCCGCCAATCCAGCACGCCACTGCCACTTGTCGCACCCAGAAACCCCGCAACCCCATATATGTTTTCTCGAAGCCCTCCCTCACAAGTGTTTGCCCTTTCTTTCTTTTTTTTGGGGGGGGGGGCGGGGGGGCGGGGGCTTGCTTTATCTGTGGATGGAAATCCTGGATCAGGTGGCAGGTGGCTTATTCAAACATTCATAGGGTTTCGTACAGCCCAACTGCTGCAGGTTTTTGCCCATCCGCATTATTAATTGACCCTTGAGAAGAACCAACGGTCTCCCTTAAAGCAAGACTTGGGTGGCCATTGGGCATGTATCGAAATAGGTAAATGGACCCCCCACCAAAAAAATGCATATATATATATATATATATATTATTGTTGGCTTCCTTTTGGTTTCCTTGAAGCCAAGGTGAGAAAGAGCGGCCGCTCAGGCGCTAGCCCGAGCCTCTGCTCGGCTGCACCGGGCCTCCTGCCGGTCGACATCCGCAGGACTGCACACGTCTCCCTTCGCGTCTCAAACTTTCGGGCCTAAACCCCCCCGCCCCCTCCTCGTTCCCCTCGTATTCAGTATTCTCCGGTTCACCGGGAGGCTACTAAGCGATTTGCAAATAGTTAGTTTTCAATTTGGTGTCTCGAACCAGCCAGCGGATTCGGTTTTGAGGTCCTGAATAATGAATCGCTTTCGGTAGCCTTTCCAAGAAAGCCTTTTCACTGCGAGTGGTGAAGCACCGATTTTCTGCTTGAAACCAAACGGGGACCGAATCAAAGGTTCGCCGCAGCGCCTTAGAGTGGCGAAGGCAAGCCCGCTAAAATCAAAAGGGAAACCAGACAGAACCACGGGGAAAGTACGTCCTCTCAAGAAGGCTTACCAGGCTTGCCAAACCAAAAAAGCCGCGCGAAGAAACGGCATTAGCTCCAAAAGCGCGCGCAAGCCCGCCCACGTAAACCCGCACGCCCCATAATCAGTGAAGAAAACACAACCCAACGAAAAATCTGAGCTCCTCGTCCTGTAGTCGCTTCTCCAGCACCTGCACGAGCACGTCCACCTGACAGCCGCTTTTGCGCCAGTTGCTCAAGGACTGGTCAAAATCACGTTTTTGCTTGTCCGGGCAAGTTCCCTTGCAGTATGCTCGCTTGTTTGGTGTCCTTTATGTGAACAAGTTGCGTTTTGTTTAGGCCCCGTGCTTCTGGCCCTGAATCCTATTGCTTGGCTTACTTTCATGTGCTGCAAAGAAATTTGCGCCCTGTCATGGATAAACACCAGACTGGAACCTGCCAGCTGCCCTACCTTTCAACTTGCATGCTCAAGGGCACACATGAGAAGCAACCTCGAAAGGAAAATTGTGAAAGAAAAGGGAAAGAGAGAAGCGACAAACACAAAGTGGCGAGCGCGCCAGCAAGAGTGCGTCCCGCGCCTTTGCACGCCCCTGCCGCTCTGTATCCAGGGCATCGCGCATCTCCTGGCGGAGGCGAGAGGACTCAATTGCTCACCAGCCGGCGCCCAGAAATGTGTGCCAGAGCCTTCATCTTGTCGTGGAGCTCCTGGGGCCCACACACACCGATCCCAAAAGCCAGGGCCACTTGCACTACAAAGGCGCCTTGACGGACCGCTCCAGCGCCTGCCGATTGTCGATGTTCATTCCAGCGACCGGTCGTGTGGCTCCGCTTGGGAGGGGGGGGGGGGGCGGGTGGCAAGCACCACTGCCGGTGCCTCAACCTTTCCGGAGTCGGGGCTGCCATACCTCGAGCAGTAGCCACAGAACATCATGCAACAAACAAAGCGGAACGCACTCGAAAATCGGTCGGCACCCATCACAGCTGAGGCCCCCACATGCCCGGCATGCCAGGCATGCCGACCATGGGCCCTGGCATGGCAATCGGTGCTCAAGACAAAGCTGGCTCCGGACCTTCACAGTGGCCTTTCGGACGTCAAAACAAGCATCACACATCTACGAGCTACTCACCCAGACAAGCTACTCAGCAGGCAGCAGGGTACCTCAACATATCAAAGCATCCAGGTGCCCGGCAGGCGTGCATGTGCGGCATGGCATACTGCCTCAGGCAAACGCATGGGACCCATGCCCACCTAGCACAGAAGGAGTGCCTCGGACTTGATGCATCAATCTCCACTACCCCCAAGCCACCCCCATGCCAAGAAGGTGAATTGGAAATACAACCACGAACTAGCTACTGCGCAAAGGATATATATATATATATAAATAGTTAGATATGTACATATATACGTATATATATATATATATGTATATGTATATGTGTGTGTGTTCATATGCACTGTTTTCCGCAGAAGGCTATATAGTGATTTGGAAGTAGTGAAAACCTGATGCATGACTAGGGGTGCCCCATGAACATCCCGCAATCAACCGGAAGCTAATCAACTTATCTCCTTTGTGCTTGGGAGATGAGAACTCCCAACATACCAGCTATTCCAGATAGGTAGGAATTGTTCTGGGGGACACGTGGGCAGCATGTTTCTGAGGATGTTTTGTCCACCGCTACTGCTGAGGGGCTCCCCCCGTAAGAAAACGCACAACAACCCAAAAGCGGAGAAACAAAATAAGATCAACCTTTCAACATCTCGCATAAGGATTGAACCACCCAGTTAAATGGGATATCCGCATTTTCTGTGCTGGGGCTACAATGATGCCATGCCAAGGTGATAATTCTATGGCCGAAATCAAAGAGTCAAACGTCAAAATGCTGGGTGAGACTTCCTTGGAAGCAACCAGGGGTCAAGGGTCATCCCCACCTTCCCCAATTTCCCTACTCAGGCTGAGGCTGAGGCTGCCCGGGATATCCGTACATGCCTGGAGAAAGTCTCCCTTCACCCTAAGTTACGTCACCAGGTCAACTGGAAAACTAATGGATTCCCAAGTGAAAGATGATATACGCGTCATGGTCAAAACTCTTTCTGTGGGCTTTATGGCTTCCTTCCTGGGAAGCCTTGTTCTGCTGGTCTAAATAGCGTGCCTACCAACCTGAGTAAAGGGTGTTACCATCACAGCACATACTGTTTGAAACCTGCAATGGAAGGAAATGTGGGGCAGCCCCGTCCCATGTCGGCCGGACAGAAGGGCCCAAAGTGGTTTAGCTTAAAGTCATATACCTGCTAGTTTCGACCTCTCCCCCTGCCGACCTTGAGTTCGCAAAGCAATGGACCCATGTTGTTTGGCAACCATTCCGCTACTGCATGAGGCAACAAAGAAGACCTGCTTGTGGTGCAAGATGTGAAACTGGTGCTCAAACATCTGCGATTGCCGCTCGTATACCTCAAATGATCATCGGTCATAACTGCCTTCCAAATACGACAGTGCTTTGCTAAAACTACCGATTTCGACGAGCTGCCTGGCAACCGCTCAGTCAATAAAGCGACCCTCCAAGACATGGCAGCAGCAGCAGCAGCAGCAGCAGCAACGAACACAAACAGAAAACAACAAACAAATAGCAGAAGCAGATGCAGAAGAAGCTGTCTTGACACATCCTCTCGGCCTGCATGCGCTTGGCCATTCCCCCATGCCGCGTCAGGTGTCACAGCCTTGGTTCAATGGCTCATTCACTCACGGACCATGAGGTCCGTCCCGGTGCTTCCACATTCCCAGCCAGGCTCCCGGGTCGCTTGGCCCACTTGAGGCAAGCCAGGTTCATCCCCAATCATTGCAGTGTTTGCTATCAGGCGATGGCCGTTGATTGAGTGGGTGAACCCCGATTTGGAAAGTATGGGGCCAGCATGACCTCTGAAACGACCACATCCTGAGGCTGCCACAGGAGGCGGTGGTGGAACAGGCCTCTGTCGATTCAACCCAACCTTTGAACGAGGACTGGATGAATAGTCCTGCCTGTGCGGTTGCAACCACGTATGAAAACACAAATTCAAAACAAACAAAAGAAGGCCTAAGGGGGAAACTTGGGAGGCCCACAAAACCATGCGAAACCGCCAAGGGCCTCCTGAGGTTGAGACATTGACTTGGCCTGGGTTGGAGCAGGGCTGCTTGCGGCCTGCCGTCAGGCGGAAAGCTCCCCTTGAGGCAAACTTGGCTGCAAAGCATTGCCAAATTTGCTGGGCTAGGAGGTGTGCAGGATCCGCTTGCACGCCCCAGATTGACCCACGTGCCCTTGCACCGCACACCAATAGGCACGTTTCATACTAGGGCAGGACATCGACTCACCCATCAGGATGTGCCTATCAAAATGGAGGGGAACCCGTTGTGGATTTCCAACAAAAGCCAAAAGGAAGCCAATCAAAAGCACTCGAACCGAGGAGCCCATTTGAGGCAAATCCGCGCCGGTCTGAGGCGCACGCCCCACTTGGCTCAGGGCCGCCTCGCCACGAATCCCACCCATTCCGCCCGAAGCAAACTTCTGACGTGTCTTTAGATCGATCACGGATAGCTTCACTTGGTAGCGGAATAGTGGGGAGGCTCCCCAAAATGTGGAGAAGTTCCTTGTGCACGTCCTCGGTGTCCTTTGTGTGGTGGGTCAAGAGTGCACCCCCTTGTTTTAGGGCGGGCTCGGCTAAAGTGATGGCAATTGAGAGGACCCTCGTAGGAGTTGATTAGAATTTGAGGAGACCCTTCCCATGACGAATGACTACATGGCACCCACCGCCAAGCGTGTCAACTCTACATTGACGTGATGCTTTGGGGAAGCAGCATGAAAGCAATCATTGGAGGGGCCCCAGGTTGCGGGATGTACTACCGATGCAGCAGCATGCGAAAACGAATTTATGACAACTCAGTTTCCGCCCTGACATGCTGTTCTGCCGACTGGCGGTTTCTTCCTCGAAAGCAGAGCGGAGAGGTCTCACGCCTCGCTTTGCACGCTATGACTTCCCAGCCCTCACGTGACTTGGCTTTAACCCACGTGTGTGCCGGAGCACTCCAGCATAAAGCCTCGGCTGCGAGCGCGCCCTGGCGCCGCCCCAGTCGCCCAAAGAGAATCCAAGCACGAAGGCCTCCTGAAAGGCGCACTGCCCTGGCTGAAGAAGAATATATATATATATGCATGTTTCGTTGCGTTGGCCAATGTTTATCATGTTCCGTCCCGAAGCCCCGAAAAATAGCAAACCACTCGGGTGCTGAACCAAGCAAATACAAAGAGATAAACTGGGTGCTGGGGAAGGGTGGAATTCATCCGTTTCAACTGGCAAGGGCGATTTTTCGGATTCATGGCACAAACCGATTGCATCCCAGCAACGTCTGTAGAGCTGCTTGGCCAGATTCTTTCGCGACTCCCCCGTCATTCCATCAAAGGGCCCATCAGGGCAGGCCTGCAAATGTGTTTTGCTGAGGTGGCCTTTTTGGGGTTGGTTTAAACCAAAGAGGAAAACCAGCCAGTTTGACGGTCCCCCTATTTGAAGACATGCAGTACTTCAGGTCTCGTTTCCGGTTCCAACGTCAGTTCTCAGGGGCAATGCCTCATACGCATGGATCAAGCTTACGTCAACATCCAGAAGGCACAGGCACAAGCCTCGATGGTCTTGAAGGTGGGTGGCATGCGGATGTCCTGCGGGGGCAGGGGCTCGCCACTGGGCTCGTACAGGAAGGTGTACCTAGCTGTCTTGCTCCATTTGCCATGATCAAAGTCAGCCAAGTGGATTTCATCTAGGATAAACAAAAGCCAGAAAGCAGTGAAGTGCCGGAAAAACAAAAAAATAATTGTTTTGCTGATGCTCCTAGCAACGCTTAGCTTTTTCCCAAGAGGTCCCATCTGACCAAACCTTTCTCCATCTTCCTTTTCGTGATTTCGGCAGGAATGAAACGGGGCTCAGGTAGCTCATGAAACGCGTAATTGTTTGAGGGGTGCGGATTTATTTTGGGATTGTTGTTTTTGTTTTTTTCTGTTTTGTTTGGAGTTTAAAAAAAAAAAAAAAGTCCGGGCCAGTAAAATGTCGTATTTTACAGCATTTTCTCGCGAAATTGACGCAGTTTACACTATCCCGTCAACATCCCCAGCATCGTTTCAATATCCGGTAACAAACTTGAAAAAGTAGCTGGCGGGTTGACGGGGTCAAAAAAATGATGATTCAAATAGGAGGGCATTTCAGTCCCTGTAAAAAAAACACTAGAAGGTAGCGGGGGGGTTGAGGGGGGGCGGCAGCGCCCCCATGATGTTCGCAGAAGTGATGATTCGAATAGGGGTGCAATTCAATCTCTGCAAAAAGTCTAAAAGTAGGGCGGGGGGGGGGGGTGGGGGGCGGCAGCCCCCTCCATGATGTTCGAAGAATTGATGATTCAACTAGGGGTGCAATTAAATCTCTGTAGAAAATCTAAAACGTAGCGTGGGGGTTGGGGGGGGCGGAAGGCCCCCCCATGATGTCGGAAGAAGTGATGATTCAAGTAGGGGTGCAATGATTCAAGAAAGGGTGCGATAGAATTTAAAAGGCAGCGGGAGGGTTTGCGGGGGTGGCTTCCGGCGGAACCCCCCCCATGATGCTTGAACAAGTGTTGATTCAAATAGGGGTGCAATTACTCTGCAAACAATCTAAACAGTAGCGGGTGGGTTGGGGGGGGCTTCCCCGCATGATGTTCGAAGAAGTGATGATTCAGATAGGGCGGAACTGGTGATGCTGATGATGCGGGGAGCCAAATCCAAAAACCAATGAAATGGTGCAAAAGCCAAAAAGCCCAGAGGGGAACTGTGAAAGCAGAGGATGCAAAAAGCCAAAGCCGCCAAAAGCCGCATAAACGCAAAAGCCAAAACGCCACCTGCCGAAGAGGAACTGGGAATGCAGAGGATGCGAAAAGCCAAAGCCAAAAAGCCACCAAAAGCCGCATAAACCAACAAACAGCCCAGAAGCCGAGAAGCCAAAAAGCCAAGAAGCCAAGAAGCCGAAAAGCCAAGAAGCCAAGAAGCCAAAAAGCCAAGAAGCCAAGAAGCCAAGAAGCCAAACAAAACAAAAAACTAAAATAAATACCCCTCCATTTTTGAGGGGTCTAATGCAAGAGGCTTCTGGATGGGGAACCCAGAAAGTATCCTCAATCTTCGGGCATCATGGATGGCGAGGACGCATGGTCCGCAGAAGACATGCAGGTATGTCGAAACTTGGAACGATTCGCTCTAGGATGCCAACATGAAACTAACCTGGGTCCAACTGGCTATGAATCTGAATGGGGAACACCCGCCAGAATTGCTGGTGGCACCTCTCGTCACCTCTCCAAACATTTCAATGGCGTCCGCCAAAGGATTCATGTCCAATCAAAGTTCATACCCATGTTTCCCCCATAAGGCCGGGTTTCCTTTCAGTCTCACTTGAAAACACGCCCAAAACGGGGTCCCAGAAAGCAGCGAACAGGCACAAAACACATCCGGTTTGTTTATGGCTTGGCCATGCATGCATCCAAGCTGCACCATGTCCTTCTCGGCCCGCTGAACATTGTAGCCTTCACCCTCGTCCGGGCGCCGGTAGGTATCCCGGCGGTCCCCGTAGGAGCGGCCATAGCGGTGGAGGCTCCACTGCAGAAACGGGATGGTCTCCACCTGGGCCCATGGCGTGCGTCAAAGAACCCCGAAAAATGCTGTTGGTGTCCTTTTGGTTTCCTTCAAATGCAGAGCTGAACAGGATACCCTCCAAAAAATATACACACACCTGCACCTACTGGGCTGGTTGAAACACGCAAAAAATGGTTGGCTTCCTTCTGGCTCCTGCTTGAAGCCACGAAAAGCAAAAAGGGCGGCTCCCATGCAATCAAAAAAACACCCATCTGGCTTTAAGGAGGTCAAAGAGGTCAAAGCCAGCGGGTTCTTTCCACGTTTGATCATGACCTTTTGAGAAGACAGTGGTGTGCTAATGGGGCCAGTCTACGTGCCGGAACTCGTTCTCGGAGGCGGAGCAAATGATGTAGGAGTAGCGGACTCCCACGGCCCCTTGGTTGGAGGCCACCTGCGTTGCTTCGTGCATCCGAGCCCCAAAACCTAACCCTCTGACCCATGGGGCCAGTCACTGCGTCAAAACCCATCCCCAGCATCATTGCATGTGTGGAAGCCTCGCTGTTTTATCTGCATATCCAGCATTCTGGGGAGGTGTTTGGCTACTATTGCTGTTCTTGTGGTTTTTTTAAAGCTTGCTATGGTAGGCGTGCCCTTGAATTGCAGCATGTGTGAATTGCAGTTTCCAGGCGTGTCAGTCGACTTTCTCAACATTCGCAAAGACCATTGCCCTGTTCATGGAACCTGGTGTGGCGAGCTTGAAAGCCATCCGAGTGTGTCTGTGTGTGTGCGTGTGTGTGCGGGGTGCTCTGTTGCTGGCTTCAAGTTCTCCAAAAGTTAGAGGTACTCATCACTGTTATCATGTTTGCTTCTTCACCTCCGCCCCCCCTTAAAAAAAAAAAAAAAAAAAAAAAAAAAAAAACAAGCCCGCACATACACACGTACAGACACACACACACACACGCAAGAAGACAACACAAATTTCCGAAACGACTAATTCCATCCCAGCCCACACCCCACCCCTTTTTGCCACAGCCTTCACAATGCCGCCAGGCTTGGTATACGCTCGTAGGGCTCTGAAGAAGAGCCGCATGAGATTCTCGTGGCGCCAGTTCACCAGCGGATGGCCGTCGAAAAATCCACCTACTGCGCCTGCCAGGTGCTTGTGGCGGCGGGTGCCGCGGTCAACACTGGGATGCCGACTCTCACGCCCTCTCATTGAGAAATCCATGGCTGGCAAGTCTTGACCCCAAAGAATTCCAACAATCCAATTGTGCGAGCCATGACCATGACATGCATGAACCATGTGCTTTGAAGATGATTTTTCGAGAAGGACATCCTTCTGTGGAATGAAATAGCCTTCAACTTGTCAACCAAGGATCTATAAGCCAATCGTCAACCTGATTGGCGAGGCGACTGCAAGCAGTTGTGCAAACACCCGGGAAAGGGCTACTGATTCTTCATACAGGAAGCAGCCGGTGGCTTGCCAAGACCAAGGCCTAAACTAGGGAGCAGGTTTTGAGACGCCGCCTGCGTGGGGGAAGTTGTAGTACACGGCACCTAGAGAATGTTCCATGTTCCGGAACTGCGGGTGAACCGCAATCCGGGTGCAATCCACCTCCTTGGCAGGGCAGTCTGCATGCATGTCTCATGGCAAATCTTTGGCAGCTCAGTAGAATCTCTGCCAAAGACCGCGCCTCCATGCGCATCAACTTTGCCGCCAAGGCTCATGGTACACTTCCGAAAAATGCTTCTCGAGCTCTCCAATGGTTTCGTCGATCTCGGAGTACCTCTCCCTCAGAACTTCCAGCGACTCGAAGGTCGTGGCGATGACGCGGCCCACATGGCCCAGGGCCTGCATTCAGTGAGCGAGCTTGACTTGGACGCTTTGGTGGACACCTTTTGAAACTTTTGAATGGTTGAATGTATGTCCACCAATCATTGCGAGGGCATCCCAACCATTAAACTAAAAATCACAGCCACACTCGCCCCGTCACGACCATGGTGCCGGTGGCCTTGCGGTGCCTTGCCAAATTCCTCAGGCACAGGGCGACGGAAACATCGATTTTCGGCCACACTTCGAGTGTCGGGATTGGTGCTTCCAAGTGACAGGGCGAAGCCTCAGATTCAAAGACTGGACATGACGTGTACGGAACTCATGGCATGAATCTCTGGCCTTTGTTGGCTAACGGCTGACGAAACTTCTTTTTTCAATGTGCTTGTAGGAAACCAGCTACGAAGCCGGTTCATCTGTGCATCCGTGCTGTTGGCCTTTTTGAAGACCACGTCACAACAACAGATTACCAATAAATCGAGTGGCTTCGACTAACTGGCGCAAAAAGGGACCTGGAAACAAACACGATCACCCATGCAATTACATACAATTACCCTGTAAATTGTTGACACAAATAGTTTTGAGAACGGGCCCCTCAACATGGCTCACTTCGATGGACGGCAGCTTAGGATTCGCAGCTGTGAGGGTGTCCCAAGGCGGCTACGGGTTGGTTGTTTGAGCAAATTTTGCGCTGGGGACTCAGCTGGGGGCAGCTGGGGACTGCATCTGGGTCCCCTGCTCAAGTTGGCATCTCCAAAAACGGCGGCGTCGGCCGTGGGATCGATGAGCTCCAGGCGGTGGAATCGGCCCATGGCCGTGCAGCCCGGAGCCTTGGGGCAGGGCTCACCAAATCTCTACAGGAAGCCGGCAAGCACTCTGCGTTTCCAAACAAACGAATCCACCAACCATATTGGTGCCTCAAAACATGGACCCCCGAAGAAATGGTTGGCTTCCTGCCCCCTGTACCCGTCGCTTTGGCGAAACATCCTGCTTTGTTCTCCGCCCTTTCCCCCCTTTCTCAGCTGAAGGGCCGCGGCAGCCGCACCCGTGGCAGCCCCCTCCTCCGGCTCGCTGTTCACCGCCTCCTGGATCAACGAGGCCAGGTCCTGGCCAGCGCTAGTGCCATGAGCGCAAGGGACCCGCGTCCCAAAAGCGTTGGAGTCCAACCGGAGAAACGGAGTGGTCGAACGTCCAGCCAACGTCCAGGTCCAGAAAAGGGGGTCGAACGGTCTGCCCAAACAAGTAGACTATTCCGAGCAAACCAGGGATGCTGGAAACTGAAAAGGGTGAAGCCAAGAAGCCCACCAAAAGATCGGCGAACCAAAAGGGTCAATGCCCGGTCCTTGGAGGCGTCGTAGTGCGTCAGGACATAACCTTGGGCTCTGGACACCAATCTGCGTGCGCCAAAATGCAGCAGCAACCGTCGCAACCCTTCATCTGCATCCCAAGGCGTTTCTTTCTCCCCAAACCCATGGAACCCTTGACCGGCGTCACCGAAATCCCTCCGTTCGGCTTTTGGCCAGGCACGCAGGTCCTTGTGGCTGAGCTTCCGCAGAATCGGGTCCGTGGTCCCATCAAGCTTCCAGGTAAACCTGCAAAGGCCCAGGAGCCCGCCCCAACCGATGCGTGGCTCCGCTTTGCTTGAGACCCCAACAGGCGGATGCCGCTCTCACGACTTCTCAGCTGCGTTCGGAGTTTGATTTCGAAGGCTCCACGTTTGGAAAAATCAGAATGAGATGTCTGCTTGGTTGGGTGGCTCCGTCCGTGGTGTGCAACAATCCTCATGTCAATGTGGGTTCCACTGGCACATTCCGCCTTGGACCGTCCTCATGCCCAACTTGAGTTCTGTCAGGCATTGCCCTGCAAGGAGATGGGCGGCCAAACATGTGTGGCTGGCCTCAAAACGGAAACCAACCATTTTTTTGGAGGGCTCAAATCCCAATCTTGAAAACATGCAGGTTGCCAAGAGCAGAAGCACAAGACTCGCGAACCACTTGTGGCCCACTCCCAAAGCCCCAAGCGCGGGCCTGAATGCGGCGATCGCATCCAAGGCTCCGCCCCCAGCAGTGCTGCGTTCCCGCATGCCTGCGATATGCATCGCCGTAAGGTCCTCAGCCGAAGCTTCGGACAGGGGCTTGGTAACGGCATGCCAGTTTAAGCGGGTCCCCTCCCCTGTCTAGAGAGAAACACACATTTCAGAGAAACACATATTTCCCCGAGGAGACGCGCATTTGGTCAGGGACAGCTTATTGAGGCGCATCCCGGAGCATTTTTGTTGGGGGGCACCTCCTTTTTGAGGACGTCTGGATCCCCAGTTGGCATTCAAGCGGAAACCCAAAGGAAGCCAGCCATTTTATGGGCCGCATGACACATCCGAGACCCGCGCGGCGCAGGACTTCCAAGCATTGAACTTGTCGGGGAGGTACCCCGACATGTTCAGCGCCTCCAGCTCCTCCAGCTTCATGCCCTCCAGCACGTGCCTCATGCTCTTGGGCGCGCAGTTGGAGTATCCGGTGCTCGCTTCGCACTTGGAGTCCCAGGTGTCACGGGATCCTAGCTGAAAACTCGGCTTTGGGTTGGTTTAAGGCGGGTTTGGGCGTGACGCCTGTGGGCTCGATCTGAAAGGCCCTTTTGCACATGATCAGCATGTGAGGCAAGCTGGGATGAGTTTGTTAGAACCCATTTCGGCATGAACGCTGTGGTGGAAATCATTTAAATGGGAGCGTTCAAGACCTCTTGTTCAAATTTAGGTCGCAAGTAACTCTTGCCAGGAGGTGATTGTATGAGCTTGCGCGAGAGCGAGTTAGCTCACGCAAGAGAGGGTAGCTTACGCGATCACCCACGCCACTGCGCTTAAGCAAGACGCTGCCGCGGCCGTAGCGTGCCACATGTCTTGGAGGGGGCCTTATGACCGCCCCCCTTCAATCGCAAAGCAAACCAGTCTTGAGCCCTGCTCATGGGGATGTGCGTCTATCTTTCAGGAAAGTCCAGCTAAATTCATAGCCATCCGGGCCCCTTGAGAAAACCACATCAAGCGTGCCCCCCCCCTCCCCCGCAGCTGGGTCGGCGGCCGCAGGAGGACATCATCCAGAGCGCCCCACTTTGTTAGGAGATGGGTGACCTTGGCGCAGGGCGATCCTTTTGGGTCGAGGGGTGCTGTCGGAGCCCATGTTGACCCCTCCAGCTTTCCACCAGCGGTTCAAATTAGGAAAGCAAGGCTGCCTTGGCAAACACACCCGCAACACATGACATGCAAAAACTGTCCCTTTCGCACAACCTCCCGACCAATTAATGAATGGGCCCACACAAATAGCCAGCAACAGGACATGTTGGCGATCTTGGACTCCTTCAGGGCAGCACCGCCTGCTAACCTGTCGGAGTTTGTCTCAAAATTCGGGACCCCCACAATCAAAAGAGTTGGGTCCCTTTTTTCATAACAACCACCCAAAGGGGTGCCCAAAGAAAAGGACGCACCCATGTCGTATTTTTCTGACATTCAAACGAGACTCCTTGGCATGCTCTGCTGGCCCACAGCGTTCGGTCATCACTTTCCGCTTCTTGACGGATCCACCAGTGCCCCTCCGCTCGAAGGCATCTGAATCTTCGCCTGGGCGACAGGCCCATGACAAAGGATAGACGCCCGTTCATACAGAGCCCCTACCTCTTTTCAGTGCCTCGTCCTACCCCACGAGCCAGAGAAGCTGAAAGGCAGGGCCCACGAGACCCCAAGCCCTGCCAAGATGCTCAGCAGCCGCTTCAGCTTGAGCGTGCCAGCCACGGCATCGCGCAAATGCTCCTGCACACCTGCCGTCAGCCGGCCAGCCAGCCAGCCAGCCAGCCAGCCAGCCAGCCAGCTGGCTCCTTCTTGAGATCAACAACACACACACAAGTGTCTTGACCTGCACTATCGACCAAGGCGTCCACTGGCTCAGGGTTCTTTATTTCTATAAGGATCCACCAGCGCATGGGCTCAAACTTGACTTTCCGTGCACATTTGGCGCATGCGCCTTCGTCTGACTCCTCTCCATCAACATCGGCTGCCTTTTCCTCAGCCATTTTGGTTGGAAGCTTGAGCCATGGCTGCGCAAGCTGCGACTGGCACCGTATCCGAAATGTCCAGCATCCCTTCCTCAACAGGATTCCCAGAATCTTTCCCGCCAAGCATCACTCCTACCAAGGAAAACTCTCCTTCAAATGGGCCAAAACACTGTTTAAACCACAAACAAAATACGGGACTCTGGCAAACTGCCCCTGGCTCCTGCATGTGCCTTGGCCAACTCCACTGGCCCCAGAACCCCGCCGCTACTTCGACCGAGCGCCCTTCAACGCCTGCCTCCTCCAAAGATCGAGCCGGATGGTGCCGCGCCTCCACGCCAAAGAGCCCTCCAAACCGTTGTGCGAATTGTCATGCGAAAGAAAAAGGAAAAAAAAAAGCATTTCCCCCAAAGGAGAGGTTTCACATCGCAGTGGGACACACCCACTGCGCCGGAGCCAAAGGAAGGCCAGGAAGGGAAGCCGCCTGCGCCGAAGATGGACCCGGAGGTTGTGGCCGGTGCCTGGGATCACAACGTAGCAAAGGAAAAAGTGTCCCCAAAGGGGGGGCAGTGCCAACCAGGTGAAAGTGGTACATTCGAGTGAAGGGATCCACGCGATGGCGCATCACAGCATCCACACACAGCTCACATGTTTCCCCTATAGCCAGCCAGGAATTTGACAAGCATTCATGTGACTAAGGCCATCACCGAGGTGGAGGGAGCAGCACCGAACCTCACACAGCACCGGTGCCCCCAGGCGAATGTACTCCATGGGCAAGTGTGTCAAGAAAGGGTGACCGCAAAATGTTGGCTTTTCCTCCTGGCTTCCCTTTCCGCCGACCTGAAGCAGGTACCCTCGAAAAGCATGGAGCCGTATGGTTGACAGGTCCTTTGTCCACCATGGCACACCTTTCCCCCGGAGGCTCTGCCACCAAGGCTCCCGAAGCTGACGGATGCCGCCGGGGCTGTGGAAGGCCTCGGGTCCCCAAACGCGCGTCAGTCCCGAAATGGGCGTGGGAACAAAAAGGACGTCCGCCCCACCGTCTCCCGGTTGTGCTTCACACTTAGGGTCTACTTTGCGACCTATTTGTTTGGGGTAGTTGGCTCTTTAGGGGTAAGATTGCCAAACTAGACTCCTGCCTTTTTGCGGGAAACCCGGGAAGTTCCCCCTCGTCCTTCCCAAAATCTGCTCGGTCCATCTGAGAGGGCGGCTGGGCTGCGCTCTGCCTCAGAGACCGTAAAGCCTTCATGGGTGAGCCTGCCTTACCTGCGGGAGCCTAAACCACTCTTAGGGTCTGCATGGCTGGTTCAGATCGTCCCCACCCTCCGTTCATGGGAAGATGATCATTCCCAACTTGAAACAAGAAATGGAGCCTCCAGTTATTTAAAACCCTTCTTGGGATCCATTCTTAGAGGGAGACCTACCAAACAAAACGGGGGAAAATGGGTAGCGCGGGTACCCTTTTCACCTTGGCGCGAATTTGGACTCCAACCACCATGCTTCGAGTCGATCCGAGGTCCGCACGGAGCGCCTGCACCGAGGAATGCCGCCATTGCGCCCTGCCTCAGCAGGACGTGTAGCTACAAAACTCTTTGCCCGGGCCCCCGTGTTGGTGCGTTTGGGCCCCAGTACCACACATATGCCAAACAACACATGACCTGTACCACTCAGAGGAGCTTTCGGCAACCATTCTAAGGGTTCCTATTAACAGGAACCATGACCATGGACCGTACCCTTTTGACCTTTTTGTTTAGTTCCCCACGCAAAATCGTCAGCACCGGACTTTTTCTACGGGGCTCACTGGGACATACTCCCCTGGGTTTCCCCTTTTCCTGTCCAAAGCAGGAACCTCTTTAGGACTATGTTTGGCACAAAAATGCCAACATGAAACTAAACACTGGAAAACGGATTTCTGGCTTCGACACACGTCCACCGGAAGACCGGCTTCCTTTGACAGGCTGCATGTATGTGCGTGCGTGCGTGCGTGCGTGCGTGCGTGCGTGCGTGCGTGCGTGCGTGGGTGCGTGGGTGCGTGCGTGCGTGCGTGCGTGCGTGGGTGCGTGGGTGCGTGTGTGTGCGTGTGTGCGTGTGTGCGTGTGTGCGTGTGTGCGTGTGTGCGTGTGTGCGTGTGTGCGTGTGTGCGTGTGCGTGCGTGTGTGCGTGTGTGCGCGGGCGCGTGTGCGTGTGCGCGTGTGTGCGTGTGTGCGTGTGTGCGTGTGTGTGCGCGCGTGCGCGCGGCTGCGTGCGCGCAGTGGTGTGTGTGTGTGTGTGTGTGTGTGTGTGTGTGTGTGTGTGTGCGCAGGCGCTGCGGCGCTGGGCGGGCGCGTGTGTGTGTGTGTGTGTGTGTGTGTGTGTGTGTGTGTGTGTGTGTGTGTGTGTGTGTGTGTGTGTGTGTGTGTGTGTGTGTGTGTGTGTGTGTGTGTGTGTGTGTGTGTGTGTGTGTGTGTGTGTGTGTGTGTGTGTGTGTGTGTGTGTGTGTGCGTGTGCGTGTGTGCGTGTGCGTGCGTGTGCGTGTGTGCGCGTGTGCGCTGCGTGTGCGTGCGTGTGTGTGCGCGTGCGTGTGCGTGTGCGTGTGCAAGCGTGTGCGTGTGCGTGTGCGTGTGCGTGTGCGTGTGCGTGTGCATGTGCGTGTGCGTGTGTGTGTGTGTGTGTGTGTGGGTGTGTATGTGTGTTTCTTCTTGCTTTTGCTCTTTTGGAGGGAAGGGGAACAACCACCGCATGAGAACTCAAATGTTGTTTGTAAATTCTAGACTGTGGCCATCCATGGCCCGGGCGTGGCGTTACCCTTCTCAGCTTTGGCCGCTGCAGCCTGCGGCGGCCGTTTTTTGGTGGCAGGCGCGTTGGCAACCAATGCAACGAGCTGCATCCCCCTTCTGGCAAAAACAATGCCTGCCCGCCTCTTGCTCAAAGCCGGGGCGGGCAATTTCGCACACGCTGCACTCGATCACCTGCAAGGCAGCCATGCAAAGCGTAAATGCTCTCCAAAACCACACTCTTCTTCAACGCAAGGCTCTCTTGCCCGCTCAACTGCCGTCCTATGGTACCCCACCTTCTCACCCCACTGCAAGCGGCAGCCAGGGCAGCGCCACCCAGCAGCTTCTGCCTCCCACCCCTTTGGAAAACATGGGTATGTGGTACATCTTTTAGGTGGTATTAAATGGAACCAAAAAATGACACAAGCTCACATCGGCACATGAAAACGAGGTCTCTCTCACCTTCGATCAGGAAGGTCAGAGGGACAGCAACCATTTGGCAAGGCCCCAGGTTTCAATACATGTTCATTTGCGAAAGTAAACCTCAGGCCTTCGCGAGTTCAGAAGGCACAGGGGTCGACTTGCGTGTGATCAATGAATCCGGCAACTCCATAGCTATCAAGCCCATCCAGCCCATTACAGTATACAATTATTCATCGGCAAGGCCCGGACACAGGTTGTCAGAACTGACACCCAACCAAGAGCCCAAACACAAAACATAACCTTCCGATTTCATCTGATCTTACACCGGCCTCTAAGGCGACTTGACCATACGAATCACAACAAGGCATTGACCGCTTAAAAAAGGCTCCTGAAATAAGCCAGGGACTAGTTCTCCTTCAGTTCATATAGTGTCTTTTGTCAAGGGTACCGTTTTTGGGGCTGCTTGGAGGGAACCCCCCCAAAAAAAAAAAACTGGGCTTACAGGTTGGGTGGCCCATATCCATCTGGAGACGGTGGACCCCTTTCGAGATTCTGGTGGAGTCAGCTCCTTACCGACACAAAGGGAATTGTGCTCACCCGGAATTGTTAGCGGTAGGCCATTTGAGGAGAGGACTTTGGCGCCAGGTTGCTTCTATGTTGGCCTCAGGGAGAGCAACGCCTGATTCTCACCTGGCCAATAGACCTGGAAAACAAAAGCTTCACCCTTTGGAACCTTGACTATAAATTGATGCTCCATCAAGCTGAGAGGACAACAGGTTGAGAGACGTCGATTCCTTTTTCGGCCATACGAATCTGTCCCAACGGCTCTACGCCCTCCTGCTGCTGGGCCAGGGCCGCAAAGCCCGCCCCGGACGAGGCTGCGGCCTTGCTTCGGCTCCGTGTGCGACTCTAAAAACCCACCGTGTCGGCAAGCTTCGGGTGAACTTACGCTTTGCTTACGCAGCCCACGGCGGTCAGCAAGCCTGTCCCTTGCAGGTTGGGCGGTTTCGAGTCGCTCCCCACAAGAATTCCTTACGAAGGCACCAGAACTGTGCAAAATGACAAAGAATTGCTCTCAGGCAGGTCGACTTGGCGTTGTTCTTTCGGCGTCTTTGTATTGCCTGCTCTCTCACTTTGGTCCTTCGACTTGGCCAAACACCTGCTGACGCGCCAGGACCACTCAGCTTTGCTCAAGCCGTGTGACAGCCCGGTTATCTTGAAAAGGCTTCAAAGGGGGCATTCAACAACTTCGCAATCGGCCACGAAGCGGAGCTTATGCCCGTGGTTATGCAGCATATTGCCTTTTTTTTGCTGACGCGGGGCCTTTCCATGACACAACTCTTGCTCGACTTGTAAAGGCGGGTTTTTAGAGTTGCTCAAGCGGGTTGAATGGGCCATCGCACAAAATGGGAGGGGACCTTTATTGTGATGGGTTCTTGTTGAAGGGTTTGCTGGATGCGTTTTTTAGTTGGATGGGTCTATCTCACAATGGGGGGTGGAGTTGTTCAGTTTGGACGTGCTAAAGGAAACCAAACGGACACTAAATTCCAAAAAATCCAGGTGCCCCCCCTCCCCCTCCCCCATGTTGGATGCTGAGCGTTCATATTTGCGAGCACGTTCTGCCAGGTATTGGCATTGATTACTTTTCTCTAACGTATTTGGCACGGCCACCCCTTCCTGCCGACGTCGCCGTTCCTCAGCTCTCCTTTGTACTTCCCGATTCTTTTTCGGACCATATGGAGTCTGGAGCTCAAGGTCGCTCAGGTATGCGGGGAATGATACACACTTGTGTCTCACCTGCCGCCCCTCTGTGCATGGGCCGTCTCTCTTCAAACAATGCATGCGCAAGCATGCAATAAGAAGAGTCGCCCGCAAAAGCCTTTGAATTGAGCGCCATCTGTACAAGCTTTACATTGATTTGTTTCAGTTGGCCTGCTGGAGAATCTAGCTTAATTTGCTCAGGCCTTTCTAAATGCATGCAGCTCTGTTGGCTAGCCCTGTTCTACGGCCGTGCGCCCTATCTGGCAATTCTTGCATCGCTTCTCTGGTCGCCTTTCAGCGAAACATGTTCTGAAGCATCATGGCCACCTCGCTGCTGGGCCAAGCCTTCTCTCCATAAGAAAGGAATGCCTGCGAGGGTTGGGCGATTCAGCCTGTTTAGACATGAGACTAAACACCCACAGTTGATACAACCTCCTTTTAGTTCCCCTTTTAGGGGGAGCCGGGGCTTGTTTGTTTGAACCAACTTGCCCAACCCTGCCTGCGACTTCTGCGACGTCTGCGATGCCTGCGTTGCCTGCATCCTACGCGACTCGGGATGTCGGCAGCTGCAGGTGGAGCCGAATGTGCCACGCTCCCTGCAGGAGTACTGCAAATCCTTCAGTGTCAGGGTTCGGCCATTGCACGTTGAACCCATGGAATGATCCTGGCTTAGGCTTCCCCATGTCCAACTGCTTACTCCCTAGTTTGGTCACCCTGTCCCTGGCGGCTTCTGATGCGGGGATACCCGCGATGGACAGGGGATAGTCTTGCAGCTGCTTGGTGTCGGCGTAGTGCGCCCACCAGTTCTGTGCCCCAGAGAACTGCTGCCCGGCCTCTTGGGACTAGGGGAAGGAATGTGCAACCCAGCCGGAAAATCTGGGGTGGCCAAAGAAAAGCTTTTCTTGGTGAGTGCATGGGTAGCTTCCTGTACTGCCAAGGTGCTTTGAGCTACGGACAACATCGCGTTACGGAACTCTTTTCCTGACTTTTCCTTTTGCAAAATCAACGAAGCCATTGCGAGATCTAGATGCAAAGCCGTTGACACAAAGCAGAACGAATCAAATGCTTGGGCATAGATGGGCATAGTTCAACTGATGCGTTTTGGTCTTCCCAACAAAACGATAGCACAGGACTATCTGAAATGCTCTCAAGGCAAGAAACCTCCCATTGTTTCGTTGTTGTGTTTCTCAAATTCGCGTTCACCGGCAAAACAACAAACAACAAACAAACACACTTGCGGAACATGCAAGGAAACAGCTTGTCTACAGCCGGCAAATGCCAGCACATGGACCCCGAATAAACATCGTGTTTGATCCTGTTTGGGTTCCATCCGTTGGTTTGGTTGGTGTCCCCCCCCCTTCCCCCAAAACAGGACGACAACTTGAGGCCTTACGGCGTTGTATGGGTATGCCGGGACCCCACAAATTGTGGTTCCCTATGGGCTCCGGTACCCTCAGAAATTTACATACCCAACTGGGGTCCAGAACTGCTGTTCCTCCCCTTCCGTTGGTCCGGTTTACCAAAGAAACACCGATTTTGGTCATCTGTTCCAGGATCCATTGAGGGAAGGGGGGCATTTCCGCTTACCCAGACATTCTGCCACTATTTTGACGCATGCCCATGGGCTCCATTGGCTCCATGGGCTCTATGGGCTCCATGGGCACCATGGGCTCGGCTCGTTCGCGCGCGCCTGGTATGCGTCCAGCTCGTAGGCCATGGAGCCCAAGGCCGCCGCGCCCCAGCGGAAGTCCACTTGCTCGGGGGCGCTGCGCGTACAGGCGGCCTCCGGCAGCAGGGAGGGCACCAAGATCACCGCCTGCGGCTGCGAATTCGGGCGCTGGGAAGGGTAGGGCTTGCAGCCTTCAAATCATAGCCATGAGTTGGAATGACAAAAGAAGATGTAAGGGGAATGATTAAACCACAATGGCCTGGAACTGTGCCATCTAGTTTCACACTGCAGGCACGGAATGAGTTGGAATGATGGATGGGGCCAAATCTACGGGCACCAGTTGGCAAGTAGTCTATCCCAATATTGATAGGGGGCATTCATCCCAATGCAATCACAACTTTGTTCAGAGTATGAACATTCCCTAGTGGTTCCCTTTGCCAGTTCATTCCCCCCGAAATTGATTCCCGACTGGGAACCCGCCAGAAATGAGGTTCCAGCATCCTCCTGTGACCGCGTCCGGTGTCCCCAAAGCACTGTCCTAGAAGCAGTTGTTGGGGGGTGCTGGCTAGGGAACGTAAAAGAAAGAAAGCACAACACAAGAGCGAACCCCCCGCATCCAAACCTGACAAAACCACGCACAAGGGCAGAGACACAAACGTCTCCGAGGGTAACTTGTGCATTCTTTCCAGGGCTCACTTCTCCGGCAACACAAAACAAAGAGGGGGAAGGGCTGGGTTATTGAAACAAATGATGATTAAAAACGGAAACAGGAGCCCTAGAAAGCTAAGTTTGTGAGAAAATGCCTGGCCTCGTCCACGTTGCCCTTCACGTCCGTCTTCAGACCACCCTCCTTCAGGGTGGAAGGGACCTTTTTCAGTTGTTTGGTTTGACCTGGAAATCGAATCCAAACCTTTTAGAACCTTGAGAAAAATGGTGCAACACTGGAAAACCGAAACGTCCCAAGGTCGACTCATGTTGAATATCTCTCCTTCAGGGCCGCCATACCCAACCGCCCACAACACCTTGGAGCCTCACAAAGGTGATGGTTAAACCACCCACACTGACATACTGTGACCCATGTCCTTTGTGCGCGGTATGCAAATCGAAAAGACACCAACCATTTGCAGGGAGACTGCATTCTAAGAAAACCAGCTGCGCAACCAAACGCTGTTCATTGCTCGTGGTGCCTTGCTTTTATAGCAACAACCATCCTTGCCAACCCAGGTTTGTTTAGGTTGCTCTGCTGTGTTGCTCAAAAAGCAGCTTGGCATATTGAGGGTGTACTATGATGTTCTACATGCAAAACGACACCCATCTTTGGAATCAAACAAACACCCATCTCTTCCTGGCAAGACTCGCCTGGGCACAATTGGGCCATGCCCTTGTTTTGAACATGTTTGCACACGTGCTTCAGCAACCTACTTTTGGTTGCACTCGTAAGGGATACCAGGGTCCGGTTGCTTAAATCCAATTTTGTCCAACACTGTTAATAACCTTGACCGTGAGGTCCGGGTTGAACAAATAGCAACTGCTTTCAAACGTTTCCCGAAGGCCCATGCTTCAGGAGGCAAAACCCTGGGAAAAGGCTGTGGCAAGTAGATCTTGGCCCGTGCCCACATTATCTCCGAAATCAAATTTGGGGGTCCACATCCCTGTTTTCACACACACACACTCACTCACTCACTCACTCACTCACTCACTCACACACACACACACACACTCACACACACACACACACGCGCGCGCTCGCGCACACACACACACATATCCTTGGCCCACATCTGGGTTCCCCGAAAAATCGCATCGTCAGATCTTCTAGCATATGTCATCTTCCCTAAAATGTTGAGACAGTTTTGGAGATGCCAGAAATGCCAGTAAAGATTGCTCCTTGGTGATCTTCCGGGGATGCTTGGCCAGCACCCGGTCCGCGCCGAACTGGGACACGCCCGGCCAGCCGGTGCCGCCTGCATCGTCCGGGCGCCAGCGGTAGACCCAGAAGCCCTGCTGGTCGATGACCTCAACCCCAACAACCATGGAATCCCTGCTTGCGATCTTTAGGCATCCAACGTACCCCCACTCTATGCTTCTAAGAGGGCTTCCACTGCCCGGGCAGTGTCAAAATAGGGGTTTGGACACCCCCCAACATGGTGGCGTTCCTGTTAGCTTCCCTTTAGATCCCATTAAACCCTGGGGCTAGTAGTTTGGGGGGTACCCTACCTAGGATATGAGGCACGTAGGTATACGCCGGTGATTGTATTGTTCTCTAAGTCTGTTGTGCAGGCGTGAATGCTGATCTAGACATGTGTTGCGTTTCCATACGGCATATTATTGCTTGAGAGCTCCTAAGCTGAAGCGAGCATTAGATGCGCGCGGTTGCGCGACTTGCGGAAAGAGAACATCACGACCGATGCTCTGGAGCAAGCAAACAGAAAGCAAGAAGAGCTGAGACAAAGCC